TAGAACTTTCACATCCTAATCTAGTAAAAAGGTGTAGTAAAGGTGCATAATCCCATTTCTTCAATCAAACAGTAAAACCTTTACAAGATAACTTCATTTTAAACATTTTATTTCACAATGTCTTATATTGGATACTGTTAGATCAGTATGTATCATTAATATGAAAAATGATGAAAAAAAGTTTAATAAATGAGAAAGAATATATTTTTCAAACAGATTTTTTTTTTTTTTTTTTTTTTTTTTTTTTAATGGTTTTTTGCTGTACAGGTCTCCTCCAAATAAATACCACTTTTGTGCGGCCCCAGTTGGATGCATATCTTTTATCATTAGCTGTACACCCCAATAAAAACTCTCTCTAGTTAGACGAAAGATCATGGATTTGGCAGTCCAACTGAAACTCAAATTAAAGAGCACTATAAATAAACAGTGTTATTAATGCATTTTTTCTATAATAAATTTTCAAATCCAAGTTCGATTTATTTTCCATGTATTAAATAACACTAGAATTTCATAATAGTCGCTAAAATTACAACATTGCAAATACAAACACTCCTAAATTATAAATTTAGGAGTGTCATCATCCAGCACCACGACAAGGTCACAACCTCTCCCCATGAACCTTACCAAGGATTATTGGGGCCCTGACAGAGGCCCTAGTCGTCCCCTTGCATCGACCCCTTGTCGGCAAATTTCAGGAGCTAGTTCACTGCTTTTACCATAACAACTCTCTGCTTTTACCATGGAGGAATTAGTTTAATCTAATTCGTCCATGCTTTTACCCATCTGATACTTTTATTCGTATAACACATTTACTATATAGGCCTAGTTATACCTTATTTGGTATATTTTTGTACTAAAGAGTTATCGTATAAATATTGACTTGCCCTTGAGACATTGTGAATAACTTTGCATTCGATTCGCTGCACAACCACATCAATAGTCGTCCCTGATTTTTGTTAAATAATACACAGTGGTGCAGTCAGCCACATTGTAGCATTAAACAATGGCGGATCCAGGTATTTGAAATAGAGGGGACCCAGGAAGGTACTTTCACATGGTTTTGGTTGAGGTAAGCAAACTTATGATTTTGGAACAACTATATGGTTGGAAATGGCACTCTCAGACCTAATTTTTTAATATAATTCTTTTTTCATTTTTTAACTATGACAAATGTAGGCCACATTTAATATACTTCAATTAGATCTAATGCACATTTAACTATTTTATTAAACCTGTAATTGATAATTCAACTAAGAAATGTAACATTTTTGATAAATGAATTTTTTTATTTTTTGTAGTTAGCTCATACAAAGCAGCTTAGCTTGAGAGAAGAGGTGGTAGACTTGCCACAAGTCTCTTATTTTTTTTTTTTTTAATTATTTTTCGCATTCTGGACAGCGCCACCAACGAGAAAGCTAATTTAGAAACGGAAAAAAAAAAGAAATCGAGTATTGGATAAAAAAAGAAATCGAATATGGGACGCCAAATAAATTAAGTATGGCGCGCACTAGGTGCAATAAAGAGTGAGTAACCTAAAATTAGGGCCTGGAACCCAGGCTAAACTGGTGGTAGCCACTGTGTGAGCACTGAACCGTGGAGATTTCTAAGTCCCAGTTCAATTTCCATCATTGCTCTACTTGTTTCAGATGGAGGGCTGAATTAAGTTACGATAGCGCACCATCGTTTAAGCTGTTGGTTCCGTTTGCAATATGGCCCATGTGCATGTTAAAGAATGCAGTACACTCTTCGGAAAAAAAATCGGTGATTGTCTCCCTGTGTACTGCCCAATTCACCACCAGCAGGACCCCGCTGGAAACAAGTCTTCAGGTTATCCTTGGTGTGATTCACACCGAAATACTCCAATCCTATCCTAGTTTGAATTAGAAATTGAATGAATTTTAGATAATTGAATATATGCCTAAAACAGTTACTGTAAATGTTTTGTAATATTTTTCTTTTAAATCATAACATGTATTTTTTTTTTTTGTATCGAACATTTAGTTCTAGTTCTAATATTTTATTTTTATGTATTTTACTATGCATAATGTTGTTTAGATCTTGCAAATTTCAGTTCTTGCTTTGAAGATCCCTTGATAGTGTTTTACACATTAATTTTGGTTATCCTTGGAGGACTTTTTGTTGTATTTTAATTTATCCTTAAACCAGATCAAATACAAGTACAGTAACAAAGTATTTAAATTGTTTTTCAGAAAAACCATTTATTGGTTGCCATTAATTACCAACAAGGTAGCATGGTGTTGATGTTGTCATTTATTTGCAAACACAGTATCGATTATAATCTAAGATTTCTTTAATTACTATGATTGTAAGCTTTGCATTGATTATACATGTAAAATCACAAGGTATTACAGAAACATGTTTTGCATTTTAAAATGATTGAATAATAATCAAAACATATGATACAGCATTATTCAAATAGTATATAGCAAATTATAAACAAGAGAAATAATAGTAGTAGTGGTGGGAGTAGTAACAGTGACAAGTAAAATATTCTTTTTAAAGAAAAATATACAAATACAATCACATAATTTTATCATACAATTTTCAAATATTTGAATCATAGAGAGAACATGATATAAGAACGCACTAATAGATATCATAAAAGTTCACAGATCTTAATAGTTAAACATCTGATATAATATATCTGAAACACTTATATGTGGTGGAATGAAATGACCATACATTATCTTGAAGCCCCCAAATAAGCATCATAATGTGTATAAGAGACAGGTATAATAGTGTTTAATAAAAACAGTTAAATAGGCACTAGAAAATAGGAAATAAGAAATAAAATAAAATTTTTAAAAAAATAAATAAAATAAAATTATCCCAAAGATTTTTTAAGGTCATGAACATTCATCCCTATTATATTTACCCTGTTTTATTAAACTATAATTTTTCAATACTCCAATATATTATGCATAATTTAAAGTCTGCTATCACTAATAAAGTATCGTTATCAAGTAAATCTTTCATAACTAGGTCGATATGCAAAACTGCACTAATTTTATTGTCTATATTTTAGCTGCAATTAATAAATTTAATCTTTTGAGGTATAATTATGAAAAAATAAATCTCTATATCATGATATTCAGCAAATCTAGTGAAATACCTACTCTGATTAATTTGGTTTCTACAGGATGTGTATTACTACACTTGTTGAGGCCAATATTGATTAGTATATATAATTAATATATAGATATAATTGTAAATAATTAAAAACATCTATTTATACTCTGTCTTTAATTGTACACTTTCCTGTCTTGTTTGCATTTGTGAATTTCTTTGCATTGATTGGGCAAAAAATATAGTAAAACAGCAGATCACAGGTATTGAATTAATTATGAATATGACCTATTAAGTATGTTTCACTTATTAGTTATTGTTTTGATGAACGACAAAAATGATAATTATGATCAGTAATGAACACAAGCCCTCACATAAATATGCTCATATAGCACTCTCACACATAAGGCACATGCAACATGCACACATATATTGTATACATGTACATACCCCACTAACACACACCATAAAACACTACAACTACATGAACAAAGCATTGACTCATCTATCATGCACAACACTAACACACATCATTTACACATGTCCTTCCCAAACTACATAGCGCCCTCTACAGTTTTATCCCAATGAATTCATACATGTTTTAGCCTCCATTTGTCGAGAAGTATATTGCAATGATAGTTCTACCATAATACCTGTGACTGTGTTTTAGTGGAATCAATATGTTTTACCATTTTAAAAACTATTTAGGAATGAAATGTTTATATTTATAATTTTATATGAAATTACAGATAATTGCATTGACATTACAGTACATTTTGGGAGAAAAACATTAATAATAATAAAAGCAATAATAAGTAGAATACCTTTTGACATACCTTGGTCCAACAGTATAACGTAAGGAGAAACAACAACAAAAAAACTTAATATATATTGTTAATCATTTTTTTTAAAAATTATAATTAATATCATTCAAATATCAACAAGAGTATCATTTGTGACTTGGATGCTTACCATATGAAAAAATTAAATATGGTGGAAAGTATTCAGTACTATTCAGTACTTGTACTTGTAATCATGTACACGCAACGGTCACATCCCAAACACGCATAATGTGAAGAAAATTAATTGCAATGTCTATCTTCAATTTAGGGTGCATGTTCTGTCCAACACACTAAATTATTTACTTAATATATTATATATGTAATTGTGACATATCCTACATTGATACACACACACACACACACACACACACCCACACACTTTAAGTCATATCCCTACACGCACAGCCTACAACCTAGTACAAGCACACACCACCCTCTCACACAAAACTAACCAATCTGCTCTTCACACACTTTTCTCTATGATGTATCCTCCTATTCATATGCATACACATACATTTGTTTATACCATTACATTACATATGGTATACATCTGCTTAAATTCACACAGAAAAAAATAATTATTTGAGTTGCGTAATTTATAATGCATTGCTTCTTGCTCGTGTCCGTTACAATCTTGCATTTATCAATTTTACGTAGGTTAACTATTACACATACATTTAAC